ATATACGACAATTCTGTCTGAATCTACGGCAATTTCCGTCCAATATTTTACTTGGAATAGTTTCTAAATTTTTGTTTGTCCTTTTTTATACAAGTTGTATTAGATATACATGACATTTATGTAATTTATAGCTAACTGTTGGTTAGTTAGTTTTATTGCTATTTAGTTAGTTTTAGTGAAGTTGAGTTAATTAACTCATAGTTAGCTGTTGTATATAAAGGAACAGTAATGCATCAGTAAAGTGTGACTTCATTTTCCCAGATACATTTCGGAACTCTCCTTTCTTGCTTTATTAACATGGTATCAAAGCATCGGAGATTCAACCTGAATCTGGGAAATGGGTCAATTCGAATCAATCCTCTGTACTTCAGCTAAGCTCATTCAAGCTTAAATATCTGATTTCTTTATTTCATTCCTTGAATTTCTAGTTCGAAATCTTGGGTTTTAGGTTTTTGTCCTAGCTCAAAATCTTGATTTAGGTTTGATTCAACCTGAATTCTTTGCTGATTTCTACTTGAACTTGATTTTGGAACAATCAATTTGGTATTGGTTAATCGATATGGCAACACTGATAGAAGAAGTAACTATTCAGACGATTGACTCCAATTTGCCCTTGTATGTTCATCCATCGGATACACCAGGCTCTGTACTAGTCTTTGAGCAACTCGTCGAAACTGAAAATTACAGTGTTTGGAGTTGAGCCATGACAGTCTCTCTTTGTGCCAAAAACAAACTCGGATTTGTTAATGGTATTTGCACAAAATTGATTGTACATCCTAGCTTGGTTCCACAATGGGAGAGATGCAACTCATTAGTACTTGCATGGATCTTTAATTCAGTTTCAAAGGAGATCTTTAATGGTATAGTTTACTCCACGAGTGCTACACAAGTTTGGCAAGATTTGAAGGAGCAGTACAATAAAGTGAATGGGACTAGAGTTTTTGGATTACATCGCAAAATTTCTAACCTGACTCAAGGAACTAATACAGTAACTAGCTACTACAGCAGGCTCAAGTCATTGTGGGATGAACTAGATTCCTTGGTCAGTCTCCCTGCACTTGATAGTGTCTCAGCAAAGGTATATCTGGAGCACTTAAATCAGTAGAAGCTACTGCAGTTTTTAATGGGGTTAAATGAGTCTATTCAATGGTTCGAAGCCAACTCTTGCTGATGAACCCTTTACCGAGTGTCAAACTGGCTTATTCAGTGGTCAATCAAGATGAAAGCCAGAAAATATTGGCAGGAATGAGTTTGAATCAAGAGATAAGTACTGCACTTTATGCCAATCATACTGGAAATGGCAAAAATCAAAGTCAGGGCCAAAAATATAAGGGAAAAAAAATTATATTGAATGTGAATTTTGCCATATTCTTGGACACAAACGTGACAATTGTTACAAGCTACATGGTTATGCATCTGACTATCAATTTACTAAAGGAAAAGGAAACTCTAAGTCAAAAGCCACAGCTAATCAGGTGCACACTTCGGAACCATTGGATACTGGAAATTCGGGATCAAGCACTGGGAATTCAGAGTCGATGGTTGGTCCTGTTTTGACTGCTTAGCAATACAACCATATCCTTCAACTACTAGGAAAGGAGAATGTTTCTCTGCCAACTGCGAACCTGGCAAGTGATTCGGTTGCCCTGATGTCTTATCTTGATAAAAGTTGCTGGATAATTGATACTGAAGCATCTAACCATATGACATTTGACCATTCTATCTTACAATCATCCACTACTACAGAACCTTCTACAAAATATCTTGTAGGATTACCTAATGGAACATAGACTTATGTTAAACATGTAGGGTCTATAGTTTTGGACAATACTTTACACTTGTCAAATGTTTTGCATGTTCCAAATTTCCATCACAATTTACTTTCAGTCTCTAAACTTGCTACCTCTAACAATTGTTTTGTTACTTTTTATCCTGATTTTTGCCTCATTCAGGATCTTTGCAATGGCAAATTGAAGGGGATTGGTAAGCATAGACAATGTCTTTACCTTTTTGATTCAAAATCAAAAGTTTCTTCCTTTGTATCAGATTTAGGACAGTTGAATAAGGCTGTTTGCCATACTGTAGAGTCATCACGGATTGTACCTCTTGAAATGAATTTGAATAAAATGCCTGTTTCTTTACTTTCGTTATCATCATCTAATCATTTTGAGTTATGGCATCAAAGGTTAGGGCATGCTTCTTATTCTGTTTTGCCTCTTGTTCATCCTAGTCTATCAAAGTCTAAAACATATATACATTGTCCTATCTGCCCTCTAGCTAAACAAACTAGAAAACCTTTTCCAAATAGTACATCTCAAACACAGAAAATTTTTTATTTACTACATATGGATGTATGGGGTCCCTACAAAACACCTACACATGACAATGCAAGATATTTTCTCACTATAGTAGATGATTTCTCTAAGGTTACTTGGTTGTTTCTTATGCAATTCAAGTCAGACACTTATTCTACTATTAAACATTTCCTTTGCATGGTCCATACACAATATAGTTTGATCCCAAAGTGCATTAGAACCGATAATGGTTTAGAGTTCTTTAACAAAACCTATCATGATCTCCTAAGTAGTCAAGACATCATTCATCAAAGTTCATGTGCTTATTCTCTTCAACAAAATGGCATTGTTGAGAGAAAGCATAGGCACATCTTAGAGGTTTCTAGGGCTTTAAAATTTCAGTCCAACATTCCCATTCATTTTTGGGGATACTATGTCCAAACTGTTGTATACATTATCAACAGTCTGCCCACTACAGTCCTTAAAGGTCAGTCACCATTTGACAAGTTTTTTGCCAAACCACCATCTTTGGATCATTTTAAGGTTTTTGGATGTTTAGCCTATGCTACAATCTTATCTTCTAAGGACAAATTACATCCTAGAGCTGCACCTTCAGTATTCTTGGGGTATTCTCTTACACAAAAAGGGTATATCCTATACAATTTATCCACTCACACTGTCTTTGTTACCCGGGATGTTTTTTTTCTATGAGCATGTGTTCCCTTTCACTTTGTCAACACCTTCCTCGAATCCTTTTCCCATAGATTCAGATTTTCTTGTTCTAGAATCAGTTCAGTTTTCTTCTATAGATTCCACTCAAACTCATTCTTCTACTTGTCTTGGTTGTCCATCTGTCCAGACTATAGACACTGCTGTTTCACCTAGTTCTGTTCCAGTTTATTCAACTCCTTATGTGCCCAATAATCCTCAAGTTTCACCACATCCTCTTAAAAGATCTAGTAGACTTACCAATCGTCCCATTTGGACACAAGATTTTGTTTGCCCTACAATACATAATGATCCTACAGCCAATGTTTCTCATTATCCCATTACCAATTTAGTGTCCTATGCTAATGTGTCCCCTTCGTTCAAAGTCTTCTTGTCCAATCTTTCTTTGGTAGAACCTACCACTTTCACACAGGCCTCTAAGGATTATAATTGGGTTAATGCCATGCAAAAAGAAATTCAAGCATGAGAAACTAACCACACCTGGTCTTTAGTATCATTGCCGCCTGGAAAGGTTCCAATTAGTTGCAAATGGGTGTACAAACTTAAATACAAGGTTGATGGCACCTTAGATAGATACAAGGCACGTTTAGTTCCTAGGGGGTATACACAGCAGGCTGGGATCAGTTATGCGGAGACTTTCTTTCTAGTGGTCAAAATGGTTACTGTTCAGACAATTTTGGCCTTGGCTTCCATGAATAATTGGCCACTTTATCAACTTGATGTGGACAATGCTTTCCTGCAAGGGGATTTGCAAGAAGATATTTACATGACATTACCCTAGGGTTTTCCAAAACAACGGGGGTAGAAACTTGTTTGCAAGCTTCATAAATCTTTATATGGGTTGAAACACGCTTCTGGAGCCTGGAATTTTAAGTTGTAGTTTTGAATGGTGGTTTCCAGCAGTCCAGGTCAGATTACTTCCTGTTTATCAAAAGAAATCAGTCTCACATTGTCATGCTCCTTGTGTATGTAGATGACATTGTGATAATAGGTAATGATCCAGCTTTGATTAGTCATACTAAGCAACTGCTGCACAACAATTTCAAGCTAAAAGATTTAGGTGTATTGAGATATTTCCTAGGATTTGAAGTAGCTCGATAATCTAAAGGAATCAACATCTATCAACGTAAATATGCATTGGAACTTATCTCGGAAGTAGGCTTATCAGGTTCTAAACCATCCTTGGTTCCCATGGAGTCCAATATTAAGCTTACCTTAGCAGCTTATGACCATCAGTTTCCTTCTGATAGTGCACAACATGATCATCTTCTTGAGGATCCAACTGTTTATCAAAGATTGATAGGTAAGCTGTTGTACCTCTGTATGACCAGGCCAAATCTTAGCAACTCAGTTGGCATATTAAGTCAGTTTATGCATCAGCCCAAGTAATCCCATATGATAGCAACTCTAAAGGTGGTCAGATATGTGAAATCAGCTCTTGGACTTGGTTTATTCTTTCCTGCTCATACTACTCTGTCTTTATCAGCCTATAGTGACTTTGATTGGGGTTCTTGCTTAATGACAAGGAAATCTGTTACTGATTTTTGCATCTTTCTTGGCTATTCTCTCCTTTCCTGGAAGTCTAAGCGCCAAGCCACTATTTCAAAGTCTTCCTCTGAGGCCAAATATAGAACTATGGCCTCTATCATCTATGAAGTCATCTGGTTGGTCCAATTACTCAAAGAACTTGGCTTCTCCAATTTGCTTCTAGTCACCCTTCACTACGACAATCAAGTTGCCCATCACATTGCCTCTAATCCTATGTTCCATGATTGGACCAAACACATTGACATTAATTTTCATATTGTCCGTGAGCAGCTCAAGCATGACCTTATCACTACTGCGCGTATTTCCTTCTCTGAGCAGCCAACCGATATTTTTACTAAGGCACTTGGAAACACTCCTCATCATCATCTATTACACAAGTTGGGTGTGCTAGACCTCTATCACCCTCCAACTTGAGAAGGGGGNCTTTGAAGGAGACGAAAAATATAGCGGAGGAGATGATATGGAAGATGGGTATCGTGGCTTTGATATGGAAAACTCGGAGAGTCCTTTAAAAGAACACAGCCCTGTTCATTCTCTCGAGAATTTAGCGGTTGACGGGCATGAAAGGGAGGTTCTTTATTACAATAGGAGAGGAGTCAGGGGTAATAGGGAAGTGAATGATGGGGTGGAGTTGTCTGGGCCGTCTGATAATGATGTAAGGGATTGGAATAGGAGTGGGAGTGAAGATGGAGTGAGGATTTGGTTGAATAGTTTAGGGTTGGGGAGATACGCACCAGTTTTTGAGATACATGAGGTAGATGATGAGGTATTGCCAATGTTGACATTGGAGGATTTAAAGGATATGGGGATAAATGCTGTAGGGTCGAGGAGGAAGATGTATTGCGCGATACAGAAGCTGGGAAAAGGGTTTTCGTGAAGTTTTGGTTGGTGGGATTGTAGTATTTGAGGAAATATTTAGTTGTCAGCCATGGCAATGTAAGGTGCAATGCAATGTCTGAACTACTTTGAGCTTTTTAGGTTTTTTTTTCCTAATGTGGTTCTAGTAGTAGTTTTTTTTTTTTGGAATAGTCGGCTCATTTCTTAGTGGTTTTAATTGTGCTCTATATAAATGTTTTAATCCAGTGCAATTTTCTAGTATATAGTATTATGATGGGATTTGCTGAAGTAGTTTTGGTTATGAATGCTGATAAGTTTGGTCTAATATGAGGAATATATTTAGTTTCATATGGTTTTTGGGGAGAATGAAGAGAAGGAACATGCTTAAGAAGGGAGCTAATAAACTATTTTCAAGTATTTTCCTTTCTCATTCTTTCTAACTGTGAAATGAAATATTGTTGGAGAACTAACTTGTTCAAGTTAGATATGATTTTCTCATTCATAAGGAAAGTTTTAGCTTAATTGAAGCCATTAAACGTTGAGTGGCATCCCTGTGCTCTGATTATGAGAGTTAAGTATCTAATTAGATGTAAATAAGATATTGTTTTATTTTGTCATACTTTGAGCAAGCTATCTATATTAAACGGTTGTGGAAATTAATATTCTGCTGTGCCTATCATGTTAAAACAACTTCAATGGTGTCTATATCCCCATCTCATCTAATTTGATATCGTTGGACCCATATCAACTTAGTTAGCCTGCAATTCTGTGTTCACCATGGAAGTAGTGGCTACAACATTTGATTTTTGATGACTGACTTTTGTTCATGAGGTGCATGTAATGTTTAGATGATATTTATTTATGGTACTTCAATTAGGAGTTATATGCATATATTTAGTATTTGTGGTTATTTGGGAGAGAATATGTATGAGGGAACAAACATTTTGTGCAACTCTTTTTTGACATTGAGAAACACATCTTAGACGCTCTATAATACAAAGGTTCCCATCATGTTGGGGATGTACTTCTGGAAGTTGTCATCAATTAACTTTGTTAGCTTGTATTGGATCCCATCTCACCAAATTTGGAACTTGGAACTTTGTTAGTAGTCAACGCTGATAATATAGGAAAGCTTTGGTATGGCCATCCAAGTGTTTAAATATACTAAGATGCTATAGTCAGTTTCCTGATCATCTTCCTGGAAGAAGGATTATTGAATCTTTGAGGTTTGAAGATGCAGAGCAATTTTGAAAACCCAAATTTTGCTTTTTCTTTGAACTCTCTTTTGATAGCTGCATTTGATTTTTTCTTTTAAGAAGTATAGGTTTATCAAAAAATGTATAATCCATTTGGTTGTGGAAACTTCATGAATTGATCATTCAATGTGCAAAGTGTTGTGTTGCTGCTGAAGGCTTATTGTGTTTCTTATTAAGTTATTTGTCTTGGTTACTTCTTTCTTATAAGAAAATTGGTAACTAATAACTGTAGTTTTTCTAACTTGTGTGTGTAAAATTTAAATGGAAATTTGTCCCATTTAAACCAGAAGTAGTAACATCTTGTATTGTTCATTGGGTTCTTGATAATCTGATGCAAGACGTTGTTCTATGTGATTTGAATGTACTTATGTTCATTTGTTAGTTTAGTTTTTGAACTCATTCGAAGAAAATATATATGATTATTTAAATCTTCTTGTAAACCATGACTGGGAGCATTCTGGTTCAGTCTTTCTCAATGGGGAAGGGATGTGGAAGAATGAATGTTTATGTTGACATTATTATCGCTAAGGCAAATGGAATTGCATAAATGTTTAGTGCCCGGTTAATGAGAATGGAGATGATAAACAGAAAAGTGAGCCGTTCTCGTTGTTCCTAGTAATGCATTATGTCTGGGCTGATAGATGATATTTAGTTATGGCACTCTTTCATTTATTGATCTGCATTTTTGTCATTTTAACTTGAAATGCTAAGTAGATCCTCTGTGTCATGTAAATATTCATTCATGCAATGGTTACAGGTTTTTACTCTCAACTAGACATGGGCCTCGTGTTGCGCTTTTTGAAATAGGTTGTAAACAAATTTATTATGACAAAATAAACTAATTAGATAAGATATAATAATTGTTAAATTATACAAATTTTAAATTAAATATAAATTTTATATATATACGAACTTGTGCTAGGATGAAATTAATAATTGTACCTATATAACTATTAATATCAATTATAGGTAGATGTTTAAATCATTCATCCAACTTGAGAAGATCACTTGAATATTATATGCTTTAATTATATTTTCAGGATCATCATCTTGTACAATTGATATTATTTTTGCAGATATGTCTTTGATATTTGATGTCAGTATTTTGTAGTGAATCATGTATGATATTTAAGATCAATAATACTATATTTACAAAGAAATCTTATAAAGATTTCTATACAAAGTGAGGTGACAAAAAATGCATGGAAGCGTGAAACAAAAAGTCAAACTCATTAAATTCATTCTTCTATTTATTTTTTGCCACATCATTTTGTATGGAGATCTTTGTAAAATTTCTTTGTAAGTGTAGTATTACTCATTTAAGATCATCTGAATATTATCAAGATCAATTATTTAAACTTAAAATTTGTACTGACTTTTCGTAATTTTTGTAACTTATATTCATTTTCAAGTTGTGTTGTGCGGGTATGTTTGTTATATTTTTTTAAACATTATTATTGGTTTTTTTATCTTCTAAATATCTATTTTCTATATTGAAGTTCATTTTATATTGAATTGATAATTAAAAAATCAATAAATAAAATATCCACAAATTGAACTCAAAGTCTATATCATCATGATTCTTCTCAAATATGTCATTATTTGAAATCTGCAACCAAAGTTTAAAACTTTGTCAAGAAAAGCAAAAAAATTTGCAAGATATCCCATTGGGTATTATTGATAAGTCTATAAATCAATCAGAAAAAGAGAAACTTTATTGAAAAATGTGAACTTTTAAGCAAAAAAACTTGCAAAATCAAAGGAAAAAAATGATTTTGATTGTTGAAAAGAGAAAATGAATTATTTTTATTATTATTATTTTAGAAATTAAAAAAAATTAAGAATGTTGAGAAGAAAACTCACATAGAAAGCAACAATAACTCCAATAGTATAATATGAAGGTAACTTAATCGAAGCATTGAAGAAACCATGAAGATAAAGATCTCGTGACATAAATCTATTTGCTATAATTAGAATTGACCACCACCTATAACAAAAAAAAGTATTTGATTATAGCATCCTAAAGAAAGATGATAATTGTAAAACCTATAAATCAAACAACAAAATCAATCCAAAAATCAACAAAAAGAGATGGAACCAATACAATTAAAATCACATATCAATATTTGTTTTGCTTTGTCATCACTAAAATTGAATTTGTTTTACATGTATGATGATAAAATGAGTGGTTCAGCAGCAAGTCTATAGTTATCCTAATTCACTGTATAATATATCAAATTAAAGCCCTATCTTTCTAGTTTCCAAAATTCAAACCACTCATCAATTAGATTTTTATTGAGCAAGTTAAGGCTAATTTATTATTGAATGTTCAATGGAAATCGAGAAACAGGGAAAACCAAAATGTATATAATAAAACAAGAAATGGCTTGATAGCAGGGCTATAGTTATCCAAATTAAGCGTATAATATATCAAATTAAAGCACTGTCTATCTAGTTTCTAAAGATTCAAACCTCTCATCAATTGGATTTTCATTGAGCAAGTTATTGTCAATTTATTACTAACTGTTCAGTGGAAACCAAAATATGTATGATGATAAAATGAATGGTTCGGAAGTGGGGTTACAGTTATCAAAATTAAGCTATAATATATCAAATTAAAGCCCTATTTATCTAGTTTCTAAAGATTAAAACCTCTCATCAATTGGATTTTTATTAAGAAAGTTATGGTCAATTTACTACTGACTATTTAGTGAAAACCAAAATGTGTGTGATGATAAAAGAAATTGTTCGCCAGTGGGGCTACAGTTATCCAAATTAAGCATATAATATATCAAATTAAAGCTCTGTCTATCTAGTTTCTAAATATTTAAACCTCTCATAAATTGGAGTTTGATTGCGCAATTTATGATCAATTTACTACTGATTGTTCAGTAGAAACCTAAATGTATGATGATAAAATAAATGGTTTACTAAAGCTATATGGTTCAGCATCAAACACCAATTGATATTTGTTAAATAAATGAAATTAGTTATATTTAGCAACAATCTCTTTTCATAATATATGTATATAACATAAAAAGATATTAACAAAAAGAGATAGAACAATTACAATTAAAATTACATATCAACATTTGTTTTCCTTTAAGGATAATAATAATGGTTCGACATATTATAAATGGTTTATTAAAGCTACATGGTTCGACAACAAACATAAGATGATATTTGTGATACAAATAAAATTTGTTATATTCAGCAACAACCTGTTTTCAATATATGTATGTAACATAAAAAAATATTAACAAAAAGAGATAGAACAAATACAACTAAATTTGCATATCAATATTTGTTTTCCTTTGTCATAACTAAAATTGAATTGGTTTTATGTGTGTGAAGATAAAATAAATGGTTCGGCCGTAAGTCTATTGTTATTCAAATTCATCATACACTATATCAAATTAACGCTCTATCTTTCTAGTTTCCAAAGATTCAAACTGCTCATCAATTAGATTTTTATTGAGTAAGTTATGGTTAAGTCACTACTGATTGTGCAGTGGAAATCGAGAAACGGAGAAAACCAAAATGTGTGTGATGATAAAAAGAATGGTTCGGCCGTGGGGCTATAGTTATCCAAATTAAGCATATAATATACCAAATTAAAGCCATGTATGTCTAGTTTTTAAATATTCAAACCTCTCATCAATTGGAGTTTTATTGAGCAAGTTATGGTCAATTTACTATTGATTGTTCAGTGAAAACCGAAATATGTGTGATGATAAAAGGAATGGTTCGGCAGTGGGGCTATAGTTATCCAAATTAAGTTATAATATATCAAATTAAATCCCTGTCTAGTTTTCAAAGATTTAAACCGCTCATCAATTGGATATTTATTGAGCAAGTTATGGCTAATTTACTACTGATTGTTAAGTGGAAATCGAAAAATAAGAGAAACGGAAATGTGTGTGATGATAAAAGGAATGGTTCCTAAGTAGGGCTAAAGTTATCCAAATTAAGTGTATAATATATCAAATTAGAACCCCGTTTGTCTAGTTTC